CAGTAAAGAATGTGAGTTTGACGCGTTAACCAGTCGTCCACATTCTGCACTGTCACTGTTCGACTTCCGCCGAGGGTGTTGATAAGACTAATACGAGGTCGAAATTGCGGTCCACTCCAGCCCGGATGAGAACAACTTTTGCGAAAGCAAGGCTCTGTGAAATTGAATGGAAACGTCAGCTCAACTCATCATTTGTGGGAAAATTCTTTTTCTACCAGTCCTTCATTAGCTTAAACGAAATTGTGTGAATACATCTTACATGAATCTATATCAATCTAGGTTTTTAATTTTATTTATGCTTAATTGAGTCTATGTAAGAAGTAAGATAGAGCCGGATAGTGTTCTTGCCCTCGTGTTAACGTGAGACTTTTACAAGAATGACGCCCGGCTCTGCCACGAGTGCCCTTGGGTCACAGGGCAAATGTGAATTTCAAGGAAGACAGATCTTTTGTCATATCATATTCTTTGGTATATTTGCTATAACAATCGACTACGTTACTTTATTTTTCGCATTTAAGTATTGTTTTGAGACTGCCAGCAAATCAGTAGTATGAGATGTATTCAATGGAAACGTCAGCTAAACTCATATCATTGTTTTGGAAAATTCTTCTACCAGTCCTTGATCACTTAAACAAAATTGGGTAAATAGATTTCATATTACTGATTTGCTGGTAGTCCCGAAACAATACTTAAATGCGAAAAATCAGGTGAAAACTAGCTTGGCGTCTGTCTCTGCTGTCGGTTGAGAAGTCTCGTCAGAGCATCAGCTTCTGCTTGAAGAAATGTCGAAGAAGGCCAGACAACTAATCTTTGCCTTTTCGTAGAAAACGCGGGTTTCGGACAATCTCATGAGACATGATTGTTGCGAAGACGTGAAGAGATTCCATGAATCTTTTCATCATGCGCTTTCACACGAAATGAAAGTCCACTCTGCAACTGTTCCTCGCCTGAAATACTCACTCACAAAAGCAGCCTTAAGAACGGAATGAAAGGAGACGAGTTTATTTTCGGTTTCTTTGCTTTGATTTCACTCCAAACACGTGCATGCTCAGAGCTGCCTGCATGCGTGAGCACGTACCAAGTCAGCAGTCGGTCCGGCGCCGTCCAGCAGCGCAAGCGGAGTTTCTCGTCATCTTCTTCGCCGCCCACTTCGCTGGAGCGTGAATGAAAACTGCCGGACGATTGAGTGAAGCAAAGTGGAATTTTCTTTCCTTCGTCGTCTCACGTTGAGGAGGTCTCTGACGCACAAAACACGTCACTTTAGCCTCGAGATCACCGGCCCGCACGTGAGACACGAGGCCTCGGAAACGTCCAATTGCCCTGGAAACTGTTAGCAAGTCCAGCAGAGAACAGAGCACCAACCGGTTATGCTCGTCGTAGTCGTGCCAACTTTGCGAGGCAGCAACAGAGTCGGAAGAGCCCTTGCGAAGCAGACAATTTCGTCTCTTTTGTGCGGATGCTTGTGGACCGTCTCTGCCTCATTGCCTCTTTTCCTCCCTTTTCGGCACCGCGTTGCTGCCCTGCTTACTCACACCCAACGACCAATCAAGTGATGGCTTCCCGGTCGGGCCTCGGCTATTCGTCCGACGCTTTGGCAGAGTGCCGACGCACCTGCCAACTCGGCTTCTCGAGCTCGGCGCAGGCGACTTCGCGTCCCCAACGCGTGTTGGTGGCGGTGCCGTACCGCAATCGCAGTCGGCATCTGCCCGTCTTCCTCACCTCCATCCAGTCGGCTCTTAGGCACCAGAAAATCTGCTATCTCATCGTCATCTCGGAACAGGTGCGACATTCTCTCTCTTCCCCCCTCTCTGTCACTCACTCTCTCTCCCTCTCTCTTTACCGTTCCTGCGAAACATGATAAGACAGACTTTCATTTCGCATGAAAGTGTGTCTGATGAAGAGATTTCTAGGTCGATCCGATCAGAAGATGACGACCGGTTCGCGTTGTACCACAGCCGTTTGGTTTTAATACGACCTTTAGGTCGACACAATCCACAAGACATCTTGCCCCATTTCGGGCGAAGACGGGCCGAGTATTCGTCCACCAAATGCCGAACATCATCAGAGCAAAAGTTTAAAGCTAACAAATATTAAGTCAAAATTATTTCGAAAATATGAAGACCAAGATGATCTTGTCCCCAGTCTCCTTTCGATTTATAGAAGTTGGTGACCGTGTTGTCGCGACTTGGCCTTGTTGTCAGGGCGACTAGGTAGAACGCATCTTGTCCAAAGTCGTCTGCCATTGCAGTTTTCCTAATTGCCAGCATCAGACAGTGGACGCGGTACATTGTCACACGCTTCGTCGGCATCGTAGTCGGCATCATCAGTGACTGTTGCCATTCTCTGCACCAAGCAACGAACTCGTCGGGGTCCATCTATCAACTCTTTACCCTCTCATCCAACTCCCGTCCTGCCATTCACCCTGGCCCACTCTCTTTCGGTCGGCTAATCCGACTCGGACCGCCCATTCGGATCTCCCTCCTGGTCGCATAGATCCGTTTTTTCTCTTTCTTGTTGACCAAAGTTGGGAATTATGGCAGAAGAGTTCGGACAAGCTGCGTTCTACTAAGTCGCCCTGACAACAAGACCGCGTTGTGAAAAGGGGTCAACCCAATTCTATAAATCTAAAGAAGACTGCGACCATACCGGGGGCCAAACCATCTGGGTCTCAATATGTTCGATTAAATTAGGAAAGTAATATGTTCAGACAAAGCACTGAATACAGCCGGACAAAAAAGACAGTTGCAAGTCAATCTTGCCATCTGATCTTTTGAAACTGTTCTCAACGTTATGTATCATTACCAAATGGTGTGACATTAAAAGATCCTACGATTAGGATAAGGTTAATGAGTATCTCCACTAGGCTTCTGTTCAGAAATAAAGTGGGACTTATGATACTGAGGGCTACTGAGATACTTATAAGCTATTCAAGTTTATGGATATTAAGTCAAGACTACGGTGTTATCTGGCCAGAAGCCTGACTCCAGAAGACTTCCAAAAGCTATAGAGCATGACCGATGGAAAATAACGTAAAATTTCTGACTTGATAGCAAAACGACAAGACGTTAAATTGAATAAGTCTGGGATTATAGGACAGTGTGAGTTAAAACCAGTACGCCAAATTGAAGTGGTTTTCGAGGTGACACACCCACTGATCAGCACGACGATAGAAAGAAAGTAGTGAATTTATTATCATCTCTTAATCCCGGAGCCACCACGATCCTGTTAAGTGGACTCTACTTTTAACTTCAAAATGAAATAATCCCGTTGTAGGTTATTAATATCTCCGAAAAGTTCCCTGAAGAGATAAAGCGGAAAATGAAGATGGAACCAACT